CCCCCCCCTCCCACTATGTAGCTACAACTGACCCGAATCCTGAGACGTCCATCGCTTGCAGCTGCAGGGTCGGATGTGACGCTCCATCCAGAGCACCACAATGCACCAGGCTCTCTTTCGAGCGCACATATAGGCAAATCACACAGAGCAGCACCTGCCACCTGAAACGCTCTCTATCCTGAACGCTAACGAATCTAAGGTGATACTCACATTGGGATCTTATTGAAGGTATCGGACTGCAATTACAGCTGCGCCCGCCGCCCGCCGCCGCCTGGGTGTCATCGGACCCGAATTCGTTCCAGAGCTCAGTCAAAAAAAACCTATAGTGAGTACGATCTAAGATCCATCATGCAATGACATCCATCATGATGATGACTGCTGCGCATCCCCGGTCGATCGTTGCACATCTGATCATGCCGCAGAAGCGATGAAGAACATTCCGTACCTGTTCCGGTCACCAAACGGAACACATTCGGCATTAGCATCCGATGCATCGATCATCTTGCCGGTGTACCGAATACTCGAACCTGCCTACTCTTTGCGCATAGAAGAGATCCCAGACGCAGAAGCAGTACGCGTGAAATTGTGTCCTCTCCGCGTACGAATGTATACCACATTCTCTCACGGAGCAACGCGTGCAATTGTGTCCTCTCCGCGTACGAATGAAAACCGTTTTACCAAACGCAAAGACCCAAACCGGTCGATACTTCATCTTGGGTACACTCCTTTGTCACAGCCTCGCCTACCTTCACCACATGGTGCCGTCATTCCTCGCATCAGACGACCGAGTACAGAATGACGACAGCGGAACAAACAATGAATCTCCAGTCTCACAGCCAGAAATGGTATCCTCTCCGTGAATGAATAAACAACCAAAAGCCAAACACCAAGACCGAAATCGGTCGATACTTCATCAGGCACGCTCCTCGTCGCACATCCTCACCAGCACCCATTTTGCTGAACGCAAAGACCCAAATCGGTTGATGCTTCAGCAAGTAACCTCCTTGCCACATCTCTCTCCCAACTCCACGGTGTGCCTCACTCGTCCTCACACCAGTCGACGGAGTCCAGAATGACGACAGCGCAACGAACTAAGTATGCCTCACTCGTCCTCACACCAGTCGACAGAGTACACAATGACGACAGTGCAACGAACTAAGTACCAGCAAACAGTGGTCCTCCTCAAAGCCCTTTGTCAGACTACCGTTGTGGGGCCCATTCGCTCAGTGGGGAAAAAAAACAACAGCGACATGTGCACCATTGCCCTAACTTCTCTCTTTTAGATGCACACACAACTAGCCGCTTGCTTGATTGCCTGCTCCATGCATCCCATCTCATACTACCACCCTTTGCGCCACATATCACGGAGTCAATCTCGCAGTGTGGACATCACAAAGCAGAAAAGCCAAGCCAGATTTCCTGCCAGCAACTGTGCCTCCGTAGTAGAGGGCGATGGTTCGATCACCATTTACTTGCTCACTGCTCACTGTTTCCGTATGCTGCGACCAGGTAGACTCCGTAGTAGAGGGCGACGGTTCGATCACCATGTTGACTCACTGGGAGACTCACAGGTCAAGGACACCAGCAAAATGCGTCGTTGTCCACCACAACAAACGGCAGACAAGGGAAGTATGGTCCCCCAGTGCGCTGATATTCCTGTGCTGACGATTCCCTTCTTCCACTTCGACCATCTTCAAGACCCTCCTGACGGAGTTCCCAAGAGAAGTAACCGAACCAGAAACCAGATCACTTCAACGACAAACATTTCGCCTACCTCTCCCAGCAGAAGTGGTCTCCAACAATTTTGCTGTGGCACCTGTGCATTGGATAGTTATAACATTAGCGCCGTCTCTAGTTACGCACAAGCATCTTATCCCGCACGACAAGGAGAGGAGCGACCGCCAGTCAAAAACAAACTGGATGCTTGAAAAACACAGCAGCTTTCACAGAAGAACGGGGGGATAGCTAAGCACATAGTAGTAGTAGTAGCCTACCCATACCAGTGACTTTTCAAGCGGGGAAAAGTGCTTCGACCGTCGACGCAGAGACCAGCATAAATGCTCTCCAACAAAAAAGAATACAGTCGCATTCACAGGCGATCGGAATATAACACTAGTGCTGCCCAGGATGGCCAACCCACTTCCGCAGGAAAGGAAAGGGACACAGCATACTACTACTAGCCAATGAACGAGCGGGGATTCTATCCCCGGGTCTACACATAAAAGAGCCTTGCCGCCAAAGAGGTCCCTCATTCTTTCATATTACAATATCAGTTGCGTCTTGCAATGGAAACAGTCTCCACCGCTCTTTGGAAAGAACCTGTGTTGCCGCATCACGAAGCTCGGTCCCCTCGATCTCCACTGCACTCTGCCGTAACCCGACCGGACACTCCGAGCACACAGGCATTACCTACCAAAGATGAAAGCCCAGTTCAGGATGCCCAACTTGTAAATGCACGCACCTGCTCGATGGACTACTGGTGGAGAATGCCACCGACGCTGACTGATCCACCGCTGAAGGGAATCCACGCGGGGTCTTCACAGGCAAGCATCCACTTCACAGAGAGAGAGCGAGACAGAGAGACAGACAGAGAGACAGACAGAGAGACAGACAGACAGACAGACAGACAGAGACAGAGCGAGCACGCGCATGAGAGAGAGAGAGAGAGAGAGCACCCTAGTCATGNAGAGAGAGAGAGAGAGAGAGAGAGAGAGAGAGAGAGAGAGAGAGAGAGAGAGAGAGAGAGCACCCTAGTCATGTCCACAGAAATTTGTTCGCCAACTGAGAGGCAAACATCGTGCTACACATGGAGATGACTCCGAAATCGACAGTGGTGCTCAGGAGCTAGCACTGAAGATGAAGTGAATGCAAGTTAGACTGGACAGTATATCTCAACTGCATCGGCAATTGCTGGATCAAGGCCCCCCGGCTGGACAGTATCTCAACTGCATCGGCGATTGCTGGATCAATTGGCAACCTGCATCGGCGATTGCTGGATCAAGTCCCCGGCTGGTCCGCGTGAACAGGACGACTGGCGCCGGTACATCGACACCACACAGGTAACAAAACTGAAAAGCGGCTCGCGAGGTTTGGAGCATGCCCATGTTGTCGAGAAAAGAAGAGGCCATAGAGGGACATCAACAGGATTTCCAACAAGTAATTTACATACCAACAACGATATGGACCTCGACTACCCGTCCTGTCGTATCATCCCAAGGCTCATCCCAAGGCATCTGACTATGTACATTGCATCTTGTAATCAGCAACCCATCACACCTACAACAGATCAACAAACCGAAGAACAAGCGACTATGCTCCACCACGATGGCGAGGAAGCCGATCTCTGCCAAGCTTACCCGGAGGAAAGCAAGCAGAAAAGCGCAGCAAAGAACGAAATGTGTGCATGTTCCCTTTTACTTCATTTCAGCGTGAGAGGGTGCACGTATGTCAGACAGAAAAAGAAAAAGAGAGTGGAGAAGAGCGAGCGGCTCCAACGTATAAAACTGACTTGATCAGCTATAGCATACAGAACTTCAATCACCTACACTCTGCGAATCCACAAAAGAAAGGGGGGAAAAAAAAAAACCGCGAAAATCACATCACTTCAAATGCGGTCTGAAACCAAGGTCATTGATATCTCTGCTACATCCCAGCAGGGGAATTCGCCCAGATCTCCCCCCGCCGCCCCCCTCACAAAGAAAATGAAACGAAAAAGTCACCCACATCGTAGAGAGTGAAGGTCCGATGACGCGGCAAGAGTAGTTGAGATGAAGACACAAGAAGTGATAAGCGTATACTGACCTCTGAAATCACCAGGAGAAATGCTTGAAGTGCGAAAGTGGATTCGCGTGAACAGAAAAGGGTATCGCCAACAAGAAAAAGGAGCGGGAGGACGAGAAAAAGAGCCTCTCACAAAGGCGGCACCCTCGGCGAACGGACGAGCACACCAGTAGTTTCCACAATGGCAATAAAAAAGGCAACGCTGTCTCGCGTTTCAGCGGCGTCTGGTAGAGATCTGCAGACGGTGCACACGCCTCTCCACCTCATTCACCCTGGTTCACAGCAGGTGAGACGCTCAAGCCGGTTAGTGGAGAGTGCAGTTTTTTTCTGTGCCATAGCCACGCGCTCTCTTGACTTCCTTCCCAGTGTTTTGCAAGAGACTGGATCTTCCGCCTCAACAGAGAGAGTCTTGCCTGCAGACACTTGCCGACCTACACGCCTACATGCTCTCTTCAAAGCTTGCTTCGAATACAAGTTCCGTATCCGCTCAATGAATGTTTGATACCCGCGTTCAATTGAAGTATCTGTCAACGAAAGTTCGACGTCCGTTGAATGAAAGTGAACTCTAAACTCTCTGATGATACAATTCGCCACTTCAGACATGGAATTTAGAAACTTCAACATTCCTGCCATCTTCCCCCGAACACAACGCACCCTCATAACAAATGTATACAAGCTATCTTTCCGTTCTGGTGCAGCCAAAATGAGGGTGCGTTGTGTTCGGGGGAAGACGGTAGCCATTGTACCAAAAAACACACCCCCTTTTCCTTGCAGTTTGAAGAGAGGGACCTTGTGCATTAACAGGACAGGAAGAGGAGATCTCTTTCTGCAGGCAATCAGGCCCTCTTCCTCACCCATCAACAAGCATGAGGAAGAACGAACACCCCCTTGGCTCACCACAGTCAGACCCCAACCCTTCTCCAAGCTACCGAAATCGCAGGTCCTTGTATCAATCACAACATGAATGATAACCACAGAACGGCAGAATCCAATCAGCAGCTACATTCTGTCATCTATGACCATCTCCCCTGCATTACCACGGGCCAGTCCTCGTCCGTCTCAGCTTTGGTAAAGGGGGCATTGGCTGATTCAAGCTTGCCAGGACCTGCTGTAGACACACCCAAGTGAAATTCCACAATACAATCAAACACAAAGAGCACACGGATTAGGAGGACTAACACAAAAAGCTCAAGGTCTAACCCAGAAGGAAGGAGAGAGAGAGAGAGAGAGAGAGAGAGAGAGAGAGAGAGAGAGAGAGAGAGAGAGAGAGAGAGAGAGAGAGAGAGCTAAGTCATTCAAAGACATGTTGCATTGCTAGACATCCTTCATTGACAGCTGCCTTAAACCACCAGCACACCCGGTAACCTGCAGGCCCCTTGCTGCCCGCCAAGGTTTACCACACCACCAGCACCGCACTTTTTTTCTTTTCTGGCTGGTGCCGCCAGCCATCATGGTCCAGTAGGCCAAGCCTTCAAAATTTTCCTAGGATGCGAGTCTCTTTTTCAGCAAGGCTGCAGCTGTGTCTAAGAAGATAAGTACCTCTCTCTCTCTCTCTCTCTCTGTGTGTGTGTGTGTGTGTGTGTGTGTGTGTGCGTGTGTGTGTGTGTGTGTGTGTGTGTGTGTGTGTGCGCGCTGGGTGTGTATAAACACGGCCATCCCATTTGCAATGGGAAAGGAGACCAACTCGACGTCCGCAAGGTTAGCATCAGGATAGAGCTCTACAGTAATTAGTCTCCTTTTTTAAGTAGAGAACCACTTCAATATGCGTGGGGGAGGTGGGTGGGAGGTGCGGATTAGGTAGGGAGCTGTTAAAGGATTAGTAGGTTAGATTGTGTTAGGATCGGCAAAATTAAAAGCCGAAGGCGGGGTGCACGCCCAAAGCGCGCTTTTCGCCGACTAGCACCCATAGCAGCTCATCAGAGGGATTAGTCATTAGGCTCCTGTTAGCGTAGGGGGTGAGAGGGGATCGTAATCAAGGGTTTGTAAGAGATACAACACAGGTAGTTAAGAGGTTAGGAACTTAGGATGCATGAGATCCATACCTGAGAGGTCATGGCTGGTGATGCAGTCGTATCAGTCGCTGCCATAGCTTATTCGGCCAGTCTTAGGCGAGAGATCAGGCACTTCGTTGTACGAGGCGCAGTGTGAGAGGCACAGAAGTGTGCCTTACCAGCCACAGACACCGGGTCAGCTTGCCTGGTTGCGTGCTTGTGCGAGAAGCGCACAGTATTGGCAGAGATGTGTGTTGATCCAGAGGTGTTCGCGTGCACCGTAGCCGATGGGTGAGCGCAGGAGGAGTATAGTGTGAGGGCGTGAGAGGATATACATAGTAAACATAGGCAGACAGGCCAGGGAAAAGGGCGCAGGGGGAGCTTGCAATGGCGGTGGGGTCGTACGAGCTGTAGTTTGGTATGCAGCGCGTCATGGAGAGGGAGAGGGAGAGGGCGAGGGTCGGGAGGGAGGGGGCAGGGGGGAGCAGAGGGGGTTCTTGGGTGTGGGCATACGAGATTACGGTTCTAGGTAGCATAGTGGCTTTGTGTCAGGGGTTTGCGTTGTACAGGGAGGTGTGTTCAGTCGTGGTCAAGGATTGCAGTGCGTATCGCTTTCTTTCGCAGGGTCCGCGTTTCTGTTTTGTTTTGTCTGTACCGTCGTATCATGGTCTGGCTATGGAGGTCTTTATGCTGTGCTGGTCGTATTGTCACAGTGGCTTTGTCATGGGGTGGTAGTGGAGTTTCGACTGCCTGTCGTATGTGGGATGTCACGTTTCTCCATATTGTCGTTTCGCATAGTGTGTACACGCCTTGGTCGGGTCCAGTTTTTTTGTTGGTTGTCTTTATTGTCTAAGTTTTTTAAAAAAAAAGGGGGGGGGGTTGTGCGCGTGTGCGTTTGGGACTGTTTTTCAGTGCATTACCGTGCTTTGGGTCCCATAACCGGGGGAGTCTGAGAGAGTGGGTGTCTACATTGTGTTTATCATAGGTGAGATACATCGTTTGTTCTTGTGTGTGTTCCGCTAAGTTGTAGTTTGTCTATTAACTAGAACATGTTTTTCATTTTTATTTTTTATTTTACTGTTCTTTTTTAGAGGGTTTTATTAATTTTATTATAATCTTTAAAAAAAAAGGTTAAGTCTTGATTTATAGGGATTTATTTATTATTACTATTAAGTGCCAGGAACCCGACTGTTCAATACTTGCTGGAGTGCATCACATCACATGCATTTCACACAGATTTCCCAAGCTGCGATGTCTCACACAAAGCCCAATAGAAGATGAATGAGAACCAGGAAGTTCAACTTAATTAATTAACAAGTCTTCTCCAAATGTACAGCGCCAATCGAAGTCACAAGTCTTCTCCAATCAACATGAGTTCCCTGGCGTGGCGCATCATAAGTCCAAATGTAAGGAGGGCACATCATAAGTCCAAATGTACAGCGCCAATCGAAGTCACAAGTCTTCTCCAATCAACATGAGTTCCCTGGCGTGGCGCTCAGTCAGCACCAGCTGCCGGACATCAACAACAGCGCTCAATATATAAGTATCACCATAACTCGCACCTCCCCCCCTTTCTCGTCTGCTTTCTTCTCTCTCTCCCTCCTGGTCTATAGTACTGGTCTACTCTCACTCATCATGCATGCACACTCCCTATCACATGAGGATCTACTCTGAATACTACTCACTGGTTCTCCTACTACTACTAATCCCTCTATTGCTACTAACTTC